CGGGGGGCCCCCGCGCGCGGGGGGGGGGGGGGGGGGGGGGGGGGGACACGCGCCTGGGCGTCGGGAGCGCGCGCGGCTCTGAGGGGCTCCCGGCGGGGTCCGGCGGCCGCCCGAGGGGGCGGCTCGGGCCGCGGCGCTGGCGGGGGAGCGGGAGCGGCGGCAGCCGCGCCGCTGTGATGAGTCACGCTAAGGCAGCCAGACGCGTAGGTTCCTCACAGGAACCCGGAGGAAACCTGAGCGCACATCGCCTGTTACCTAATCCCTGCCTCCTTCGGGGCTTCCCTGGAGCTTCCGCCGCCGCCGCCGGCGCCTCCGCGGCTGCCGGAGGGTGCGCGGGGCCGGGGCGGCGGCGGGGGGCGGCCTGGGCTCACCCCGCCGTGAGGGGACGCCGCTGTCCCGCCGAGCCGCCGCCCGGGCCGGGGCCAGGAGCTGCCTCCGAGAGCGGGTTTGACATCGGAGTGTGTTTGCGTGAGGGGAACTGGCCACGAGAAGGGAAGAGAGTAGGTTTAGTTTAGGTGTTCGGAAGTATGGATGCTAACTATGAAGCAGGGAGCACAGTGCCTGGGGAAAAGCAGGCCGCATAACTTTCTCAGTCTGGCCTGAGAAAGTGGCCTGGGAAATCATAAGGAGGAATTAAAACAATCCTCAGAGATAGAAGACAGCCTTGCAGGTGCTGTTTGTCCGTTTCTTGTTTTCTTGCAGAAAAAGGTCGAGGGGTGGTGTACCCCACTGACCAATGATGGTGATGTGTTAGTTCACTGACCAATAAGAGTTTTATCTTTGTGTATTTTCGCGTATGGGTCTATAAAAGATGATCTGAAGTAACAAACTTTGCTCTCCTGTTCATGCACAAGAGAGTCTGTGTCGTTCTTCTCACCGTTCCCAATAGAGCGACATGGAAGGAATTCTTGGCTGTGAGGGTGGAGAGGCCCCGGCAGAGGCTGCCCGGAGAAGCTGTGGCTGTCCCTGGATCCCTGGAAGTGCCCAAGGCCAGGTTGGATGGAGCTCTGAACACACAGGGTCAGTGGACAGTGTCCCTGCCCACAGCAGGGGTTGAAACAGATCATCTTTAAGTTCCCTTCCAAGCCAAACCATTCCATGATCCAACGATAAATTACATATTACACAATATCTACTCATTCCGTGTTCTGGCAAAGGAGAATTTGTGACAAGCTGAAGATGCTACACCAACCAAAACTTAAAAGATAACCTGTCAGTGGGAGTCTAACTGTAGTGAATATTCTCTTGCTGTCTAATAAATGTCTTTCATTTGTGAAAGGCATTTTGGCTTGTTTTAATCACTGCTGCTGGAAAGCTATTTTCAGAGCTATCAGGTCCATAAATACCAATAAATGAACAGGTATAATTGCCACACGTTTAAAATAGCTTGTACACATGGGAGGGAACGCTATCCTTAATGTCAGATATACCCTGAAAAATGGCCAAATCACGAGCCTCATATGCAAAAAGATCCTCAAATTTTTATGTATTGTAACAAGGACAGTATCTGGCTGAAACCTGTTGTTCTCTACATTGTAGCAATTACCTCCCGTGTGTCAGGTGCTCCTGTAAATCTGTCTTCTGTTTGGTGAATTATTTTAGAGCCAAACTAATTTTAGAATATTTCCGGCAACTGCATTGACTGATCATATTGCAATCTTGTGAATATGTAAAAGCCCTGAGAGTTAAAAATGTGATTGTCACAGTTAGTCTTAGTCTTTCACAGCCGACAGTGACAGAAAATCATATTGCTTGTCCTGGAAGGTTATCTCTAAGCAATATTTTTTTGATGCCATTTCTTTATTTTCAATTTAACACTTATTTGTTTAGGGAATGCCAGGTGGGTTTGAAGGGTAAGAAACATTGGAGGGTAAAAAACACTGCAGTTCTTTTTGAGCAGAGAGCTCCCAGTTGCAGCTGACTATGTCATTGCTGGATTTTGGTTTTTATTTTTTTTATGTTTGTGTGTTCTGCATCATCAGTGAGTCACAAGCCCTGGGAGGATGTATATCAATGCAAGTATCACAAAGCAGTTTTAACTTCATGGTCAGTTGTTTTTCACTCAGCATCCAGAGGCAGTTGGAGTTTCTAAGAAACTATAATCCAGATAATCTTAATGTAATATGATCTGAATTATAAAAATTCCTATTATTACAATGTCTTAGGGAAGTCACAGCTAATTCAACAAGATGCAAGATCAGCTTTATGTTTTATGACAAACAGCAATTAAAACTAGCTAAGAAGAGATTCAAAAGCATTTAGGCATCCTTTTCCTAAATTTTTTGTTAATTTTATATATTTTTTAGTTGTTTCAAACAGCACAGAAGAGTATCTGGGAGTAATACCTACTCTGTTTCATGTTGAAATGTTAAAGTTACCAGATGTCCTTGATTCATCTTGGCAGTCCCCATGTGCTTTTCATCATTTGTCTCATGGCAGAAGACACTAATTAAAATGAAATAGAGTAGAACTCCATGCTCAGGACACTTTGTCAACTTTTGGCACTATGGTCAAGCCAGGATTGTTTTGCTCTGGTATTAAGCAGAGAGCTGATGGCTCCGAGCCATGCTGACATTTGTTTCTGAGAGGAAAAGGTGGAAAACCTTTTTCATTAAGCTGGAACACGGAGCATGCGGTGGCTGTGGGTGGTGAGGCGGAGCCAGGCAGGAGGAACCTGCTGGCCCTGCTCTCCGTGGGGCCAATTCCCCCAGGAGGAGCCATCCCGCTCCTCGGTGCTGCCCAGAAAAGGAAGCTCTGAGCACCCACTGATCCCTCAGAGCGTGTGCTCCGTGCTGTTACGAAATGTTTGGAGTGTTCAGGAACTCTGGGAGCTAAATTTAGAGTGCCTAGCTGTGCTCTGGATATCGTTGGGTGGATGGCTCCTATGGGATGAGGGGAGGTGGATGGAATTAAACTCACAATTCACAACATTCTGAGTCTGAGACCATTGGAAATCATATGGAGAATAAGGCTTGCACTTGATGATGAGAAGGAAACGCAAGTGTTTGCATCCTTTTCAGATTAATCATGTTGCTTTTTGTTTTAAAAAACAACATTTTATAGTATTCTTTTGGAAGAAATCTGTTTTATTTTAGCTTTAAAATGCAGCCTTCCTCTTTCTCATTTGCTGCTGAAAAATAAGCAGGGTTTGAACAGGCCTCAGGGAGGTGACCTGAATTGTATGGAGGGCAAAAAGAAAAGTGCTTCGTAATTCTTTGTAACCTTTGGAAGTGACTCCTGTGAGCTGACAGAAGACAGGCAGGATCATGAAGAATGCTTTGACAGATCTTAGCATACCTGTGATCCGTGATCTGGTACCATATAAATGAGTTTAATGGCACAGATCCAGTGGTAAATGCCTCTTCAAAGTAGGGCTTCTTTCTTTAAAAAGTAGGGCTTCTGCAGTAAACCTGAATTAATTTTAGCAGCTATATTCAGTTTTAATAATTCCAGTTTCTTAAGACTAAAGACAGCAAGAATTTGTAAGGAACACAACGAGAAGTCTCTTGTTGTTGACAGAGTCAACATCCATCAAACTGCAGTTAATTTTCTTAGGTCTGGTCTGATCAACTGCAGCTTGAAAAAGCTAAGTAACTTCTGTCACCACAGTTTTACTGGCTCCTTGACCATATTAAGGATTGTTTTGGGGTGTTCCTAAACACCAAAGTAATTCTTTCTTTTTGTTTCTCTTACCATATATTTTTTTTTTAAGTTTTTGAGGTCAAGTCAGCTTTTCCAGATTAATAGTCAATGATTATTCTGAAATATCCCCATCCACTGCAAAACACAGGATTTCAGGCCTGAATCCCACTTCCAGCTGTCATGGAAATTTCCAGTCCTATCCCAAAGGAAAATTCCATTTTCAGCCTTCCATTCAAACCCCTGTTTAGGAAAGGGTGTGCTTTGAATTAGTGTCCCCCGCAAATCTCATTGATGCAGCTCATTCTAACTTCTTTCAACAGTCTCAACCCCTATGATTTATCCACAGAAAATCATGCTCATTTCACAAATTAATGAATGAATGGCTTTTAAAGAGATAGATTTATGTGATGTAACACATATACTATCAAAAGTGTAGTAAGCAGTAAGTTTATCTAGTAAAAAAAAGAGAAAAAGGTGTTACAATCTCTTATTGACACACTGCACTTTATAGACATTATTTTCTTGCTAAGGAGACAACTTGTTCTTTAGCCCAAAACATTTTAATTTAGTAACATATATGATACAAAAAGAATTACTAAGTGAGTGTAGTTGTAACTGTGTTGCTAAAATTGCAGCAGTTCACACTAAATAAATTAAGGGTATTAGAGCGACATGTGTCAGAAATTTAAACCTCCAAGATAATGGCAACTGAGCAAGTATTCAAACAGCATATTCGTGGCTTTGAGAAAAACATCCAGACCCAATTAGAACCATTTGTTGAGGGCTATAGTGTTTCTTTTTTACTTTCCTATGTATGCTATAAAATATTTTAAACATTCCCCATTCTCCTTGTTTGAAACGGAAATGTGAATTATTTTTTTTTAATATCCCAATGCTTCTTTGGCTCTGTTTAAATCAGTGGCAAGTAATTCTTGTAATAAAATGAGTAGTATTAGCTATAATTCTTGAAGGACGACTTAGTAAAACACGGACTTTTCTATGCATTCTTTTGGCACATAATCTAACATTTTTACTGCTTGCATAATGATGGAACTATTGGTTTTAATGCCATTTATTATTTCAGTAGATAGAGTTCAAACTGTGTAGAGCCTAGGCTCTCTAATAGATAGATAGTGGATATTGTAGGAATATTTCTTGCTCGTGGGAAGCAAGACAGGAGCTGACAGTTTAACAGTGGGTGCATTTGTGGGTGAAATTCAGTACTGGGAAAGGGGCCAGTTCCCGGTGATTTCATTCTTCAGGAGAGAACATTAATGCAGGCATCTTGCTGTAGCCAAGGGAAGCCAGCTCCCCTGACCCTCATCATCCCAAATGAGAGCATGGCCAGGAGCCACGAGACACCGAGTGCCCAGCCCGGGGAAGAGCAGAGGGAAGCCCGGAGCAGGGAGCAGCTGGCACCGGCTCCTGGAGCCGAGGGGCTGCGGAGGAGGAGGAGGAGAAGGGCTGGCCAGGCTGCTCCCGGCCACTGCCAGCACCACATTCCCCTGCAGCCAGGCTCCCTGCGGAGCTCTTAGCACGGCCCCGCTGCTTTGGGAACACAGGCTGACCCCTGCTTCTGATCCTTTTAAAAAACTGTTATTTCCCTTCTGTAATATTTGTGTTACTGCCATGTCAGCGCTCTGTTTATTCCATTTATCTCACGGACAAGAAAGCATCAAACCATACTTCTAAACTTACCACATATACTTCATATAGAATTAACATGTGTTAAAAGGGTAAAATACATCTTAATGTGCCCTTCTAAAGAATCATTATCCTGAGAATGGTAAAGCCAATCTCTTTGGAGAAGCTGGAGCACAATGACTTGCCTTTCCAACTTTCCTATCTTCTTTTGTTCAGGACAAGGGTGGAATTCAAAAAGCAGGCAGTAAGGATTTCACCTTTGTTGATAACCCATGAAACACCTGAGAATAAATCTGATCCTAAATTTAGTCCCCCTGTAAAATAACTAAAGGAACAGTAACTGAAATTGTACAGGAAAATGGTTATTATACTTTAAATGTACTTTGCTCTGCTCTGTATTCAACACTCAGGTTAGTGGCCAAATCTCCTTTCCACACAAATCAATCACTTTGTGACTGACTTCAATAGGAAACTGATTTCCTACTTTGAACCTTGGCTACACCTTTGTACCTCCAGTTAAGCTATTTCTTCTCCACGTTTTCTCAAATTTACTCTACTTAGAGGCTCACTGCTTTCCCAGTATTTCATAATGGAAAAGGTGCAGAACACATCAAATCAGGAACAAATAAATTGTTATTTTCCCTGTACAAACCAAAGAGTTTCAAAGAAGGACTCAGGGCTTGAGAATTCTCCTGTGACCGCATTGTTTGCCTGTTGCCAAGGCCTGTGGTGGGATCTGGGTTCTTGTTGTGGTGACAAAATAAGTTCTTCCACCACAAGTAAATGTCGTCCCCACAAAATGGAATAATTTCCAACTCAGCATGACAGTTAAAGCCCTTGGCTTTCAGTAAACTGGGACTTAAGCAGCAAATCAAACAACCCATTTTCGTTTTGATGCAGTGCCATGTGGTTGGCTACTTAGAATCTCACTTTTTGTGCAGTGATAAAATTCTCTTCTGCCCCTCACTATTGGGCATTTGCTGTGACATGCATGAGAATTGCAGGCACATATAGGAAAAAATCAAATTGCCATGGAAGATTTACTGGTGAGGCAACGGTCAAATTTTTTCTTTCTCTGCAATTCTGAGCCTGGAACAGCTTCCTTGTCTCCAGCAGATGAGAACGAAATCTGGCTCATTTAATCTAATTTTGTCTCCGCCAACAGATCTTTCTCTCAGTTCTGGTCTGCAGTGCTGATTTTTATAATAGCTTCAATAGGAAAAAAAGAGAGAAAAATTTAAAAATCTCACCGTAGAGAGCCTCCAATGTTTCCTCTGGACATATTATAACTCCCACTGTTAACCAGTAACTGTGTATCTTTTTTTTTTTTGAATAATGATGCCCATAATACTGGAAGCTCTAACATTTACTCAGCCAAGACCATTTATCTTGTTATAACAGGATCAGCATCTCAGCTGGGGCTTCTGGATGCGACTCCACTACAAACAAAATTAAAACCACCAGTCAGCTGGAATTAATAGTATATAGGAGCCACACTGTTACTCTGCTCACACACAGAAGGACGTGTAGAGGATGTTAAATCCCAGCACAATGCACTGAGAGAAATGGATTTTTCCATAATTACCAAACCCCTTAGATAGCAGCTATCACCAGGAACCAGGAGAGCTCCTGAAAATATTGCTCCAACATTCCTAATGGATGGTTTTCCTCGTGGCTACGTCGGCAAGAGCTCAGTGCCAGCTCCCCCCCTCCTCCTGCACTGCAATACGTAGGAAGCCTTTATTCCCAAACGGGAGCGTTTGCTTGCTGACATCACATGCGGTAGGATCCTTTTGTTTGCCTGTGTCTCCTGCATTGAAATGTTTGTCTGAGTCACAGATCCCGCTGCCTCCCTTCCCCTATGTCATGCTGCTTGCTTCAGAGCTTCTCCCTGACTCATAGTTTTTAAATTTTGACACAGCCCAGTTTGCTGCATGGCAACTCAATACTTTTCCCTTTAATATTTTATTACGTAATTTTTATCTAAACCTTATAATGATGCAAAAACCACTGCCTTCCCCCCCCTCTTTTTTTTTTTTTTTTCAGCCTTTTTTGAATAGGGAGATTTTATGACTCAGATTCAGCACTGAATTTCGTTTCAAGGCAAAGTCAGTTTAGTGTATACTAAATAAAAAATTCAAGATAGTGACTCCCACAACTTGAATTCTCCATTTAGCTGCTGGCTGAGTTTCCTCAGCTCTAACGTTACCGAGTGCTCTGCCAAAAGGGGTCATCTCTGTGCATGTGTACAAACACTCCTCATAATTGAAGTAATTACTGTTTTGCAGTGCAGCACCTTTCTTCTCCTCTAATAATCTCCTTGATTTGCTTTTTTCTTAATAAAAAGAGGACAAAGAGCTGCTGTGATTTCAGTGTACTTTCATTCTCTAGGTTTAGACTCTGGAGCTGCTGATATTGCTGGTGCCTAAGTCTGGGTTTCCTCTTTATTACAGCCATGAACAAAAGAGATCCTGATTACAGCAAGAAATGAAATGAAGAACGTGGAAGTAAGGGCTATGCAGCAGTTTGGTTCAAGCCTGAGCCACGGTAAAATATTCCCACTTACTGAGACAGGAAGATAAAATTATCGTGCTGGATTAAATCCTTTGTCCTTCAGATGCAGCCTTTCATCTCTTGTTGCCACTACAGGATAAATGAGAAGTTCAAAGCAGAGCTTTGATTGTCCTTGACCAAGGACTTTGCGGCAGGTGAGGGCTAAAGCCCCACTCTGGTGTAGCACAGAAAGCTGCATTTCTCTTCCAGCATCCACTGCCTGTGTCCTGCTCTGAGCCCGTGGTGAGCACACAGTGCTGCATCCAACCTCCTTAAAATTCAGGTACACACAAAGCCAGACGACTGATCCACATGCCTGTCATTAAATGTGCTGTGCTAGAGGCTCTCATTTCATTGTCTTTTTACCCAGTGTGAAAGAGGGTTGTAGCCCACCCACCCCCTCAAAAACAAACAAACAAACAAACAGCCCCAACCCTAAAGCTGAAGCTGTTTGTTATAGAAAACATAGATTTTTTATTATAAAAGTACAATTATGTCATACGCAAAGGAATTTTGTGCCACAGGAATTTGCACATTGCAGTATTAATGTTCAAATAAAGTCCTGAGCAGGAAGTGAAGCTGAGAGTCTCTCAGGCTGCCTTTGGCTGCGTGTTCACTCTGCCACTGCTCTCCTGCAGGTTTTTAACATTCCACTTTGGAATCACTGTTGCTTCTCCTCCTCTGTCCGTGGCCGTTTCCGAGGGTTCAGCTCAGTTCCTTGTGCGCTGTGAGTGACAGCTGGAGGCTGCACATCTCGGAAGCCATGGGACTGGAAGATGGAAGGAAAATCATGTGCTAAGGCTTGTAGGGATAGAAAGCATGAGTAACCAGTCCCCAGAAGATCATGCTGTCATTTATTCGGGATGAGCAGCCACTGAATGTTTATAGACCAGGTTAAGCTCAGCACTGCAAACTTTACAACACATGTGCCAACTTATGTCTGCTCATTTTGTTTTTTAAAGATATTTTATTTTCACCAACCAGGCTATCACTTTCATTTTACTGTTTATCACCCCTATGGCTATGAAAAACGGCTTCTCTGTAAATTAACTTATGTTGCCTATTTAAATAAATCAAAAGACAAATCCATCAGCTCCCACAGAAGCAAGGAGATGACTGGATTAATTGCCTCAGTCATTTTCAGAAACAAAACTGTGAATTTCTACAACCTAGGATATTTTTGTTCCGTGTACCTACTTAATGAACTGAAAACATCAATGAGACATTGTAAGAGAACAGCAGAGCTGAATCTGTCTCTAGACTGCAAAGACTCTTCCAGCATAGTAATTTATGGGACACAATGGGATGAAAACCTTTGACTGCCAAAAACTAAATGTAGAAGTGAAAACTACATGCTGCTACTCAGGAGAGTGCTTGAAGTGATCTATCTGGCCTAGTACCACTCATATTTTCTGCAGCTCACAATTTAATTTTTAACCATTTTAAAATATGAAAGATCTCCAAGTCAGTTAGTTAAACATGTCATGGATGCAGATGGAGATGATGAGATGTTGTGTGAAGCCTGCAACTCTCTGAATTCCCATCTCCAGACAAATGCTGTGCAGAGAGCACTGCTGACAGCTCAGTGAAGACTCTGAGTGCAGACTTAGCGAGGAAAAGGCATTAATCAGAACACAAAATTGCTTTGCTGATCCAAAATGCTCAAGTAGAGACAATGTGGGGACGAGAGCATTTCAGGAACGCTGACATTTTGGGTTGGTGCAGTGTGAGGAAAGCAGGCAGAATTATGATCAGATGTGACTCTTCCCAAATGCCAGTGTGTCCCACACCAAGATCAATCCCAAATCCCAGCAAAATGTCTTGTTTAAGTCTCCCATTCTGTATTTCTATTTCTGAATGCCTCACCTCACCCAACCCAGGCTTTTTAAAGGAACAGGCATCAAGAGGTGTTACAAGGGCAGGATCTGTGCAGCCCCTCTGCTATTTATAAGCAACTCAAGTGTTATTCTAAAGAGCATAATGGGGAATCTTCAAGTTTAATGTTTCACTGCATCTAATCTCTGCCATTTCCCTGAGGCACAAAGGTGGATCTGTAGCCAAGTATCCACTTAATCCAGAATGCTGACTCCCAGTGAAAGCATTCCAAGGGTTATAAGGGCCAGAACATAAAGCAGGCTGCCCAGGATGGGTGTCTTGCACTTGGTTCCAGGCAGTACCTTGAAAATGCAAGAATTTTGTGTATATTTGTGAGGTTTGGTAGTGAGTTTCAGATGGTGAGGATGTGCCTGCTGGAACCAAGGACAAAGCTCAGTCTTCTGTCATTCTGAATTGTTCCTTGATGTCCTCTGGATTTACACCCTCTGCAGCAGGACTGGCAAGGGTAGATGTCTTTATTACCTGAGCAGCGCTCCCATTGCTGGCCTGGCACACCCTCCACAATTCAGGGGAACACAATTCCTACCCGGAATTTAGATCCTGGGTCTCTGTCTTTCACTATGAAATAATCAGGTCACATTCCTGGGAAATTCAGGTGAATCAGCCGAGCTACTTACTCCCTTGTGCATAAATCAATTTCCATTTCTATACTCTGCATTTAAGAATGAATCCTTATCAGCCTGTGGAAGAAAGGATTTCATGGGAGAGGAGTTCCACAGCCCCCTCAGAGTGGTGACTGACTCCAGTGTGCTGGAAAGGACAGGGATAAAAAAATCCCAGAGCTCACTCATGAATTTACACATTTCATCAGCTCATGGGTACTGAGCAGACGCTTTGCAAATGGTACCAATGAACCTCATTTGCACATTTCTGAGTCCTAAGGAAATTTTTTTTTTAAGTATCTTTTTTTTTTTTTTTGTATGCTGGTTATACACAAATCTGAATTGGAAACACTGGACATGTATTGGCATCTTTCAGTTTAACTACGGAATGAGAAATGGTAACAGCAGACTGTTATCAGACCTGAATTTCATGAAAGAAATGGGGATAATCCATTTTTTACTAAAAGAAATCATCTGCTGAAGCAATTCATCAGGATTAAGGGAAAAAACACAGGGATAATCTTAAATTTTAACTAATCTTCGATTAGGATTCACTCTCAACTCCATTTCAAGATAGTGTGCATTCACACAGAAGAGACCATAGCTGTCTTATGGTGCTTATAAAACTGAAAGAAAAAGGCAATTAAACTAAGATAAAATCCATCTGTTTGTCAGCTGGAGAAAAAAAGGACTCACATCACATGATCCAAACAACCTTGGGATGTAATCCCACTTCCCCTTCCAGTCTTTATAAAAGTATATATTTGCAGTATTTCTTCTGTCCAGGTGAATACATTCAGGAGTGTGGGGAAAAAAAAAAAATCTGATTTCTGTTTGAGAGTTTGAGGACCTCATCTGATGGCAGCATTAAAATCTGCAGAAAATGCTATGGCAACATGTTTCCATGAGGACATGTAGCAAATAGTTATGGAATTGTACCTATGGATCTGACACCTGAGGATGTAAGGGTTGAGTGGTGCTGTCTTTTTAAACCTAAATACAGCTTAGACAGCATCTCTTCTCATTAATATGTATCTAAGCACTCCACAACAGGAAATAATCACAGGATTTAACTAGGGATGAATAAGGACTCCAGCCATAAGCTGGAATCTCCTTCTATGATAGGGACAGAAGAGAAAAATCTGTGTATATTGGCTGGTGCAGGGTCAGTGTAGGATAAACTGGGTGGGTTACACCACACAAAGAGCTGGGGAAATACCTATGGAACAAAGCACTGGTGAGGCCTCTGGAAAACCTGGTTTACTTCTGGTCATTCTCATCCCTCAAGATGAACTCAGCTGGAACAGATGCAAAGAGGCACCTGAGAAACCGCACCCTACCTGAACAGAGAGAAAACTGTTCAGGTCTCCCAAAATGAAGGCTCAGATCACTCCTGGTAACTGCATTTAGGGCAAAAGTTAACATCAGGGGCAGATAAAATAAGCAGCACCAGCAGCAGAACAGAGGCAGACAGGCTGCCTGGAAGTTTGATCTGGAAATCAAAAGTATTTTAACTTTGAGTAGACAAAACTCTGGACCACTTTTCTAAAGAAAAAATGAGCAAATTACCCCTAAATCTGGAGATATCCCACTATTAATGCTTCCCTTCAGAAGGCAGCTGAAAAGCAACACTAAGAAAGCAAAGACCACTCTGAGATTTGTGTGAAATTTCTTTCCAGCTGACACTGTGCTCCCACCTGTGAATCTCCATCCCCAAAGGAATACTCACTGTGATGTGATAGGCTACGGTGGATTCCTTCTGACTCGGTGATTTGTACAACGTGGCCAACCTGGTAAAACAAACCCCAGGTAATTTTAATTAATTAATACACTAATAAACATACCAAATAGCCAGTGACTAGACACAAGTTTTCCTACAGTACCAGTGGAATTCTTAGGGATGTATTTTCATATAGGTCATTCAAACTGTGGATTCCCATCCTTATATGACCTGTCAGCTCAAACACAATCTAGACCTACTAAAAAGAGTGAATGATTAATTAGCCTTGTTTCATCACAGTATTTGATGACATTTTTGGAACAATATTCATCATCAATTAATTCCGAATGTCACTTTCTTAAAATGCAAACAAAAAGGGTTTTGAGCACAACTCTTCCTTACTCCATTAATCACTTGTTCTTTGACCTCTCAAAGCTGGGAGAGACCTTCAAGAATTCCAGTACTTCCAGGGAGGCTTTTTCCAGAGATCTCACAAGCCTGTCAGTATAACCCAGCAGCTGGAGATGTTCTATTTCTAAGCCTGCCCTTGCCACTGACACACAGCACAACCTTGAGAAAATAGTTTCCTTTTTATTTCTCCTCTGACACTTCCCTGATTTGCTGCATTTAGATTCTAAGCAATACACCTTGATTTGTGTTCTATAGTAAATGCTTGCATAATATAGAGAGAAAATTGCAAAGCAGCTTAAAAGGAAAGGGGTATTCAACCCTTGCCAGGGCTGCACCATGCCCACCTCCCCAAAACTCACACTTACATAAGCCAATCTAGAAAGTGTTCTGCTCTCTGTAGCAAGACACCCTGCCAAAAATCCTGTTAATTATTTTCGGGGGGTTTTTTCCTCCCTGAGGTGCCATTCTATTAGAGAGCACGTAATTACAGCCTGAGGAACGCTGCCACTTCATGTTAGCTACACAGGGAATTCCTCAGAACACTCAAATGCTGGGTTATACTTGACAAAATTGCCCAAATCTGGAGCTGCAGAAGCCAGGCTTTCACAAGAGCTCAGCTGGAGCCTCTGACTCAACTGGATCTTTCCTCCCAGCAAAGAGAACCCTTAGAATTCATCTCTGACATTTTCAGTAGTGGAGAGAAAGGAGGAGACAGGTATTAAGAGTTGGCCAAAGACACTTCAGAAGTATTTTATAAAAGGCAAATGGATCCTCAAATGATCTTTGTACCTCAATAACCTGATATCAAAACAACAAAACCACAATGGGATCATCAGCTATGGGCAGCCTGTGCAGAAATAAGACAGCACTGAGCTATTTCTACTTTTACAGTTGTATCCAGAGTTGCTGTTTCTGCAGGCCCCACTCCATGTCAGCTGCAGATTTACATCAGTAAATAAGCCAGGTTTGTCTGTCCTTGGCTTGTTTTCTGGAACTTCTATTTGCAGCCTTCCTAGCTCTGTTGCACAAGAAAAAAAGTTCTTTTCATATATAAAATTAACTTTTGTTCACTCTGCAATCATTATGTTGATGCAACTTGTCCTAAAAAGACTGTTAACTAATCAGTGATGTTAATTTAATTCCAAATTAAACAGCCTGCTGTAATCATCCTGCATTGCCTTCAAACTTAGAATGTAAAAACAAAACTCCCCAAGAAAGTGTCACTGCATTTTTCTTTCAAATTCAACAAGCAAAACTCTGCACAACAACATTCCAGCAGCATTTTTGCTCACTGTTTGCACAAGATTAGGGAATTATAGCACAGCTCCTTAATCTCAAGCTGCTGCATGGTGATATTACATACAGGACAAATTTAACTGAACAGGAAAGAGAAATGACCTTGCAATGTAAAGAAGGGAAAAAAGAATCAGGAAACAAGAGGAGATCTCATTGCAACAAACAGAATTTCACACTGTTTTGAGAAGGTTCAAGCCCTGAAGCTCAGGGTCAGCAGCCTGTCCTGAGGGTCACTGGCTACGTGGCTTTAAAACCCTCTTTGGCATCTCTGGCTTTGGACTAACAGGGGATGAAAACATTGAAGCAAAAAAAATTCTTCTCAAAGAAATTATAGTGGCTACAACCAACCATGGAGGAGTGGGAGATTCTTTATAATAAGACTGTTGAAATTGCACCTCTTCAGAGTGGGGCATAAAAATCACCTTGTGACCCACCAGCTCAATACCTGCACTGAGTCTATGGCAAAAATTCACATTAAAGTAAGTTTTACTCAAAAAAAAAACCCCAACCTTATCTCACAAAATGAAGATAGTAAATGAAATTTTCTACTCAGCCACCAGATCCTAAATCCTTGTGTATGAACAACTGCCATTACGATGTTACACTTTTATAAACCATGGCATCTTGTCAGGAAGAACCCACCATGGTGGGGAGGAGGAACCTGACAGTTCAGCCCACACTGTCCCAGACTGAAAGAGAAAATTCCTGAGCCTTGGGAGTCTGGGATGTAGCAGAGCAAGGCCAGGAGCCAAATTCAAACCTCTGCTTGGCCCCCATAGCCAGTTTGAAAGATTTTCCAGTGCCATTCTTGTATTTTCATGGATTTTCCTCACATTTTCCCTCACCTCTGACTGTTGTCCCAGTGGAAGATTAAACGGACAGTGGCAGCGTGTCCCCAGCTTTCTCCTGAGGAACACAAAATGACAGATCATTATCTCTTACACCACCCTCAGCAGCAAGCTGAAATAAAATTAATCTTCAAACCCCCTCCCCCAACAATGATTAAAACAAAATATGCCTTTTTTGCTGTGATGTATCTCATCTTTTTCATCCTTGCAAGGATTTCACAACAAATACACCGAAACAAGGAATAACCTCTGTAGTACATACGTTTTATGGATATCTTGATGCAATACTTCCATATTTGTAGAAAAATTTTATGGATGCCTAATAAAGGACAGGTACTAGACAAGTCTTGAAAACAGAGGCAGCTTGAAGAAGAGATTTGCCTAATTACTACTGAAGAAGTCTGGTGAGGAGGTCTAAATCCTACTTCAGAACTGCGATATTCTGTCTCTCAGGCATAATTATGAGCAAACATTAGTCCCTTTGGGATACCAGCTTTGGGAGAAAGTCAACGATTATTAAAGTATTAAAGGCCCCTGAAGCAGTCTTCTGCTTCTGACAGCAAAATGCAAAATAACACAACCAAAAGCAAGGAGAAGGAAGGTGTGGTGGAGAGAAGGAAGTTTGGATTTTTACCCTGCTCCAGGGACTCAGTCCCATTGTTTCAGCTCACACCTGACCACAAGTCACTGTACAGACATCTTGATTGGTGGCTTTTTCCTCTGTTTATCCTGTCAGCAGTACAAAGCTGGATTGCATTTTAAACCAGTCAAGTTTCCCCTGTCCACCTGCTCTTTCCTGTCCACCCCTCCCTGGTCTCCTCCACATCCCTAGCCCCTCGTGCCCCCTGTGCTCTGGTATTTATTAGAGCAGAGTGAAAGAAAAAAAATATGATCCCACTGTAATGAAGACCTAGACCCTATGGGCATCTTGCCAGATCTTGCTCCACTATATCTGAGCTGGGATTAAAGATTTTGGCTCTCAGAAATGGCTCTGAGGCAGAGATCAAAACACATTTTACAATGGCTACAAATTCCACACCAACACATTTCCAACTGCATTGAATATGAGTGAAAAATGCTACTGTAAAATGAGATATTTCAGAGTTGAACTGCCTGTAGATTAGTATTTGACCTCCTTTCTAAATATATTTAGTAGAAATGTCTAGGAACACCCAGCTTAGCTATCACTAGTGGGAAAGAAAGCTGTCCCCTTCATAAAGCTCCTGACTTAATACCTTGCAGCATCTGTGCTTCTTTCTTTTTTTTTTCTCATAATTAAGATCTTCCCTTCTGCTAAGGAGCTGAATAAGAATTTAGAGATTAATGCTTTCATGAAAAAACTGCTTCTCAGGCAATGGGGGAAAAAAGCCAATTTAGTGATTTTACTTGGGGGTTTGCTGCTGACCCCTCCCTCAACAGTTCCTTTGGTTTCACCAAACCATGGAGGAGTAGGAGGTTCCTTAGCCTTTATGATGGGACTTTTGAAACACCATCTCTTCAGAGCAGAGCATCAAAACCACTTGGTTAAATATTTTCCCAACTGGGACCAAGATGCATTTTTGGAAGAGTTCACACTGCTCAGTTTAACAATACTGTGGTCACAGACACTGGGGAGAGTCACAGTCAGCTCCACAGGAGGTCATGTCAAATTAATTGTTTGTGAAAGAAATTATGCACAAGGCAAGGCAGGATACCTGGGAATTATAACCTCCCCTGAATGTCCTCACATTCTTTACTGTCCCCATGACTCAACAAACACAACAGCTCCCAAACAATGCTGGCCAGTGAAAAAAGACAGACTCTATTAGCTTTAATTGAGTTTGTAGCCAGAAAGGCTGCCAAAAATAATCCATCAGAGAGAGCAAGAGGCAAAACTGACAAAAAGGGTTTGATCCTGGGAGCTGGATCTGCTTGCACAGCTCCAAATTCCGCGTTCTTCACATTCCTGCAGGAGATGGGCTGTGTTTGCTCATTTTACCCTATATCTCTGCCAAATGGTTTGGTACCTGTACAGACTCTGGGAACATCTTTGCCTTTGTACTGTCCCCTTCCCTCTCCTCTCCAGAGCAAGGGAATCATTACTTAGCTCACAGAAACTGAAGGATTTGTGCCCTTTAAATGAATCATAAAATAATGCAAAGCTACAGCCTGAAATAAGATTTAAATGCTGAACCTTTCCTTAATTTGTAGAAATCTCCACTTCAGAACTGTTTTATTTTCCCCTGTGACTGCAGCAGAAAGGCATGGATGAGGTATCTGCTCATTACAGGGCAAAATTGAGCAGCCTAGAAAAAAAATCTTTAACCTGGCTCAGGGCAGGCTGTGCCTGAGGATCCCACACAGAACTTCCCTCTACATCGTAACTGCAGAGAATTCCAATGATACAGCAAATAAGAAATGCCTTTGCAAATAATTAATGGGACATATTCAAGGGTAATGGGAAAATAAACAATTTAGACTGTTTGGGAGAGGCAGTGAATGGTTCTCAGGGAATTTAGGAAATTGCAGCTTAGTTTGGGGTATGCAACCATTAAGCTGGGTTCTTTTTTGAGTGATTTAACTTTCTCCTCACCACATCCCTGCTAGAGGTTTATTGCTCCCAGGTACATTTTTTGAATTATTTTTCTTGGTACATAAAGCCAAAGGAAAGGAACTCATATATCAATTTCCAACTCAAAGCTAAACACTTACCTAAAGCAGGTACCAATGTGGACTGGCTTTGTCCAATTCTTGTTGTCATTTGGTTTGTCAGAACTACCTGAAAGGGGAAACAGAAGCAAAGAAATAAGAAAATCTCCTGGTATTCATATTAGTGGTGGGAGAGAAGAGAGGGAATTTTCAAAAAAGCTTTTACTGATGAAGCAGTTACTCAGGCAAAATTCTTGGCAACTGTGATGAGGAGAAGCTGAAAAGGTACCTCATCTTTTCAGAACAAATTAAGAGAAACCTGCAAAATGTTATTTTTGGTTTGAATAGGAGATTTCTTTCATTCAAGACTTTAAAGAAATCTCAATTTCTCCCTCCCCAAGGAAGGCAAGCTCCACACAACTAATTTATCCCACAACATTTGTCCTAAATGCTGTTTGGATCTGTGTTTAGCTGCAGGTGACTTGCACTGGCCCTCCACAAGGAGCCAGCTCTCAGTCCCTGGGGTAAATTAACTTGGTGGTGCTGCTCACAATGTGTATTAGCCTGGTGATTACCTGAATTTCTGTGCTTTGTAGTCTAAAAATGCACAAGTGGGTACAACACAAAGCAGAATGGAAGTGAACAGACAGAGTGGGGGAGTGTTTTCGCAGCCCAAATCACTTGTGGGAGGCTCACAGACAGTCTAGGTTCGATCCCTGGTAGAAGTGGGGGTGAGTAAGACAGGAAAGAGCCAGGAATATTAATGACAAAGTTCATTAAAAATTAAAAATTGTACCCATCTAAGACCCTAGAGAGTTCCATTGTTTGACATATTCAGATGATTCTTGCTGGAGCAGCTCAGAAAAGTGTGTGACAGCAAACAGTTCCACTGAGCACACCCTAAAACACACAGCTGAGAGCCCAGCACAGATATTGCACATTTTCGAGAAGTAACTCATCACAAGTGCATGGTAACAGCCCCAAATAGCCTCCTCATCTCCCTGCTGGAGAAGGGCTGGGCATCCTCACTCCGAGTCCAGCTTTAGGATCTGACTTCCTACCATATTAGAGCATCCAGAGCTGCCTGACAAGCAATCCCTGGCATGCAGGCTGGATTTAGCCTGCTCACAGCTCATGGAACTCACTCAGACACCACTAACAAGAGGGCAAATCCAAGTAAAACCATTCCTGAAGCTCTGACTCCTTTAGCAAGAGTTTATTTAGCAACTTTGTACTAAACTGCTCCCTGGTTCAGAAGAAATTATTTATGTATTTCATCCTTGACCAAAGAAAAACATTGTCCAGTGACAGCAACTGCTCTTCAAGGTCACCAGGAACCAGGTTGTGGGGGAAAGCACTCAGGAAACCTGAGGTTGTGCAAACCCCAGAACATCATCTCCCTGGTGCCCAGAGCAGCAGGAAGGAGCTCCACAGCTCATGTCAGGACACTTTGGGAATGCTGGGCTCTTCCCTTCCCACAGCTCCCAGAGGAAGCACAAGAGGAGTTTTATTTTTAGCAGCTTGGAACAAAAGCCAACTGCACCAGAGTGTTGTGGGTGACAAGGTCACAAATCACCTGGACACTCTTAGCGGCACAAGCACCATTTTGAGGGCTGGGGAAGCTCCAATTCCTAAACAATGCTTCTCTGAGCTGCCAGAGACTTCCAAAACAACTTCTGGAACAGCTGCAGCTTCCCAGTGCCATCTGCTGGCTGCGGGTCTGCTGCCTCCAGACCATCAGTGACGTAGGAACAATGCCCAGGAAGGAGGCTCTGGGTTTCCATGGATGCCAGAAGAGGAGACCAATCCAGCAGATAAAGTGGTTTTCCTCCCTAGGAATGCTAAAATCATAGTTTATTTTTAAACAGAGAGTGGAAAGTTGTGTTGGAACTGCTGAATGTTCTGAGTTTTTTTTGTAGGTAAAGTCACCAGAGGAGCATTCCTTGTCCAAGCAAATCATTGGAGATGACGGCAAACAGCATTAGAAATGCCATACTACCACTTAATTAAGATCCACAGAATGCTGTTGATGCAAATTTTACTTATTTTGGCAAGTCTAGGAATTTGCCACCTTTTAGGTGTTTTACCTTTCTGATCTCTGTATATTTACCAACTAAACTAGCAAGAGTGAATGCGGAAGGTCTTACTGCAGTTTTATTTTGCTATTTAGAGACAAAAGCAATTCACATTTCCTTAATTCTTTGTCAAAAAAAGTAGCATCTTTTGGGATTTAAGCCTGCCCTGGACTTACAGCTGATTTATGGTCGTTGGCTATGATGATGAGCTGCTGTGCCAGCCCGTTCAGCAGCCTCGTGCGCAGCGACAGGTCCTCAAAGTCATGGCGAAAGGGAAAGGCAATTCCATCAATCACCACCAGACGGACCTAAATGCAGGAGAAAAGATAAAATACTGCCATTACCATCCTATAAAAAAATGACAAAAAGCAGCAAGACCTGTTTTTAAGTGCACTGGAGTGTTTTATATCATCCTTAGGTGAATACAGCTGGCAAAGCTGAACTTAAAGCCTTGCAGAAGAGAAGCTGGAGAAAATAATCATTAAATAGCAGAACTGTACTTCAATCAACTCTCCACAACCATCAATTAATCCACCTTCTTCCTCAAAAAAGTAAATCCAAATCCAAATCAGAATTCAGGCTCTCTGGAGCCACTGCTGAGATAATTCAGCTGTTATCAGTGATCTGTCTTGGAAACATGTTTAACAGATGCCTAAAGATATTCCAGGCACACTGCACTGGAGCTGAGGATCTATCTTGCCTCAAGATGTTTGCTTTGCTGAATTATTTCTTTTGTGGCAATCATTAGCTGAAGTCAGAGCACACTGCAGCTGCTGGCTCATCACCCTCACGACACTGTATAAACATTAGTCTGGGATTTTGATTTATTCTAACTTCATTTGTTGTGGCTGTTTTGATGACCCAAGTCTGAAATACAGGAGGGAGATGGATGGTGTTACAGTGCCTGCATGTTCAGGTGTCACTCAGATCCTTGACATCTACAAGCTCTTGCATTACTGCACAAGATAAAGCAGAAACGACACAAAAATCCTGATTTTCTGCATTACTGATTTAACTCATTACTGGAAAGTCTCTTTATGACTGGAACATACAAGCCTGCACAGACATCACTGTGAAATGGTCCTGGGTCTCCAACTGAAAAAAAAAAAATCCTCTTAATTTGCAAAAGAAGATTAAATAGTTGGGATTAAAAGAAGACATTCATTGTATTCTCATTTTCCCTTCTTCCTACAAATCCTTTTCCACGAGTCTGTACATCTTCCTCATGTATCATTCCTTTAAGAACAATCAGTTTAACAGTATAAACATGACTCATGCCAGACAGGAATGTATATGTGGTTATATAACTTGGCTATTAAAAATATGTCTAGGTAAGATGCAACTTAGTTAAATTTCTAGCAGACCTTAAAGAATTAGGTTTTTTATTACAAGAATATTTTCTATCAGTCGTTCTCATATTATTACAAGACCTCAAACTAATTCATATTTCTAAATGGCACATTTGGAGCTCTAACTCTACATCTTTCTTACCTCTAAACCTCTACAACTTTTTCTCTCTCCTAAAAACCCTAAAATCTGGAGGCTTCCTGTGGTCCCAGACTCGGCTCCAGAGGAATCAGACTAATTTTAATGAGAGCTGGACTGCAGTGAGCAATCTGTCAAGTCGCTTCTAGCCTGTCCAAGGAATCAGCAGAAGGTCTTGTGGTTCTTCTGCAACCTTCAGCACTTCAGGCTGCAGGCCAAGCCCAGATAATCAGCACAGATGGTTCCAGGGAGCTGCAGCCCAGTGGAACTGTGCTAATGAAGCCATGTACTTTCCACAAGAGCAAACACAACAGGGCACCGTTAGTACCTGGCAGGGAAAGGGAAATACCAGACTACACCGAGCAAAAGTGAGGCTCCCATCTGTGTTTTCAAGAACACAACAGCTCCTATGAATGAAAAATTTTGCAATATATACAAAAGACTTTCTAATCCAACATTGATTTGTGCTCTGATAGACCAAGGCACAGTCATATTTCTCAGATCCTGACAAGGAGTGATCTGCAGTGCAGAACCCAGAAATCTGGAGGGGAGGTGGTGAAAATCTGCCTTACAATAGCATTTCTCTAAGACATTAGGTACTAAGAAACTTTCTGGCTGCAGTCCACCCAAGAGTCAAGCTGCAAGCTCTGGTTGCTTGTAGCAACAGAAAATGCACAGAAAAGAAGAGTCACTTGGATGGTGCAGGATATTTCTGTTGCTCAGTGATCTTTTAGGGCAAAAACAGTGGCACCAAGCCTTTCTGATGCTAGCCTCATGGTCACCACATACCCCCCTTGCTCTGAGGCTCTTGTGTGGAGCAGTTCTGTGCTGATTCACAGCTCAGTGCTCACAGAAATGGAACATGTGGCAGCACAGACCCAGTGTCCTCAACTCAGAGTGGAAATTCAGGAGGATGGCAAAAGCAAATTACTCTTGAGAGTAACTGGGACAGGAACAAAAAGGCAAACAAGCAGAAGGCTTTACATTTGTACTCTGCTATCAGCCAATATTTTACTGCCAAGCTGATGAGGTACCAAGGTGTTTACTCCTGTTACTACAGCAGACAAAAAACCTTCAGCGTGAAGACGAGTGACACCTCCTGAGAAGCCTGCAACAACCCTTACCTTGGAATGCTCTGACAGGAATTCTGGCAGGAGGTAGACCTGGGCCAGCAGCTCTGTGTAGTCACGACAACGGAAGTAATAGATGTGAGAGAGGATATTTTCCAGAGAGAAAGTCTCCAAAGCTTTCTGATGATCTGAGAACAAAACAAACAGATGAGTAAATGAGTCAGAATTCTGTACGAGCATATTGTTACTTTCATCATACCACCAAACCCTGCCCTCCACACATAGCAACAGCAAAGCCCCCAGAAACAGAACAGGCAAGGTAAGGAGTGTGGAAACATATTTTCCATCTGGCTTGAAAGTCAGGAAGGTGGTGAGCAGATGCTATCCCAGCATTTGCACAGACACTCTGGAGCCTCCAAGAGAGGCCTCCAACAATGAAAAATTTATTTCTGAAGCAAGAACTTCTCCAGTAAATCATTTTTAAGCCAGAACACCACCAGAGGACATCAGGGACTATTAATCATCCCTTGTTTAATATACAGGCAGTAACTCGTTTAATACAGAGTCTTAAAAAACCTCAGTTGAAACAGAAGTTTGGTGCATAAATTCTCCACGAATAACACAAAAGTTGTGTCCTCATCCCCAAGAGACTGATGAGAGAATAAAACTCTTATTAAAAGCAGTCTGGCTATATTAACTATATGGAGGAGCTGAATTCCAGCTTCAGCTTTACTCTATGGGCCTTCAGCAGCAACACTGCCTCATAATATTCTGCTGTTCCTCTTTTCCTTCCCCACCTGTTCCTGTGTTTTGAAACAAAACACTCAGTTTTGCTCAACAGGTGCAAAAATGATCACTAATGTGCTAAAAAACTGGAAGGAAGGAAAAGAAAAGAGGAAAGGAGGAAGGGCAAACACCAAAACCCCACACGCCGCCCAAAACCCCCAAGATCAAAATGTTCACAAAATCACCATGTAGAAAAATAATTATTTTTGAAGTAGCCCAGCTCAGTCTGCTCCAGACACCGATGTAGTTCAGGGTTTGAGACACACAGGTGGAAATAAAAAGCTCTTGGCAAACACTCCAAAAGTAACACTGCAGCCTACGAGACACTTGTTTCACTCCATCCTTGCCTCCTCCAGAAAGAAATGAATTAGCAACCTACCCTCTTCTTGCTGAGCCTCAGCAATAAGGTGGCAGTGCTGCACACAGGCAGCTGCAATGTCCACCACTCTGTCCACCATAAAACTTCCCTCAGTGTCAATGAACACAGCTTCTCCAGCAACGCCTCCAAAGCACTCTGGGATCTGGACATCCACTGCCAGCTGCATGCTGCCATGGCAAACAGAAATAGAGATCAGTATCTGCATCCCAGAGCTGTCCCAGCTCACTCCTGGAGTGACATTCCTGCTGAGGAATACATGGGACAGGGACCAGTACAATTGTTATTATATTTATAATGCTGGAGAAGAATCAGAGACTGCAGCCATGACAACAAGAAAAATGGACTTATTTCTCAGCTGAGTTAAACAAAAAGTGATTCTTGGTTGCACACAAGTCATGGGACAATGAAGTACCACAGCTGTGTTTTGCCGACACCGGGTGCTCCGCAGATCTCAGTGATTTTTGTCAGCTGTACTCCACCTCCCAGGATGTTGTCCAGTGCTGAACAGAAGGTGATGATGAAGCCCTGGGCTTGCTCTTCTTCCAGAAGCTCCAGGGCTGTGCATTTCCTGGTGGCACCTGATCCCCCAGCTGTCCTTGCTGCATCTCCGTGACATTCCTGCCTCACCACCTGCAGCACTTCCAGTGCCTCTTCCCTGGAGATTCCAATTTCTAGAGAAGCCAAAACCACAAAACACCACCTTTATTTTACAAGCAGTGACTGATTCTGCAGCATGACACAAAATGATCCATATTCACCCTCTCAGGACAACATGTACACAGCCCTGGTACTAACAATGTGATCTTCAAACTTTTATTGTCATAGATAGTAAAACTATTGATAATCAAAATCCCAGACTGGTTTGGGTTGGAAGGGGCTGTAAAGACCACCCAGTTCCACCCCTGCCATGGGCAGGGTCACCTTCCACTATCCCAGGTTGCTCAAAGCTTCATCCAGCCTGTCCTTGGACACTTCCAGGGATCCAGGGATCCACAGCTTCTGTGGGCACCCTGTGCCAGGGCCTCACCACCCTCACAGGGAGGAATCACTACACACTCCTTGAAAAAGGCAGTTTTCTAACTTCGAACAGGCTTGTTTTGTTTAAATCGCATAGTAAAAAGAAAAACGAAGCTGGGGAAAGAGAAAGAATGAGCCTAACAGAATCCTTTCGTTTTCCTGCATCCCATTTCCATCCATCAGTGTCAGCAGATCTTTTACCAGAATCGTCTTTATTATTCACCGTGCCCATTTCCCGGAGGCCTCACTGGGGCGTCTCAGGGGCCGGGACAGGGAAGGGGAAAGGGAAAGGGCCCGGAAGATCCCGGGGAGGCCCCGCGGAGCCGAAGGCCGCCGGTACCTTTGCTCAGGCCGCAGGGGCCGGTGTCCAGCAGCTCCTGCGCCGTCTGGAAGCCAGCGGCGGCGAGGCGTGCGCGCAGGGCGGGGGCCAGCGGCAGCGTACCCACCTCCCGCTGCATGGCGACCCCGCCACCGGGCCGCACCGGCACCGGACACGCCCCGGGTCGCTCCGGACACGCCTCGGGTCGCTCCGGACGCGCCCCGGACACGCCCAGAGAGCAGCGATCGCTCCCGGCCCCGCCCACCGATCCCTCCCCTCACGGTCTGGCCCCGCCCCCGCCCCACCCTGGCGCGAACCTGGCGGGCGGCGGCGCTGCGCATGCGCGGAGCCGTTCCCGCGTGTCGGGGCCGTTCCCGCTCGTCGGGGCCGTTCGGGCCGGGGTGAGCGGATCTGCCTGGGCCGCGGGTGTCCGTGGGCTCTGGGAAGGGACTGGAGTGGGCATTCCCCACTCGGGAATGCCGCTGAATGAGAGCCGCCTATGTGCCCTCCGAGAGGCTGCTGGTCCTGGCGGGTTCTGTGATGTCCCGGTTGACGCCTCTCCCGTTCCACTTGTGCCCCCGCACCGGCCGTTCCCACAGGGCACTCTGAGGCAGGGCATGAGGCTGTTTTCCCCTTCCATCTCTGGATATTTCTGCAGGAAGCAGACATAAATTTAAGCTACTGCAGGTTCTGAAGTCAGAAATAAGTTATTTACGCTGAGGTGCTTTGCAGAGTGATGATGTTTCCTACCTTTTCGCAGTTCTGTTCAGGAAAGAAGATGGCTCATCCCATCCCTCTCCCATTTCCATGCCCAGTCAAGCTTGGAAGTATAAAAGGAGACTCCCTGGAGGCTGACCTTCATGAGTATGTCAGGGAAGGGAACTATATGAAAGTGAAGAAGATTCTGAAAAAAGGTAATAGCTAAGTTTAGATAAGTACTGGCAGAAAATATTTACTTTTTCCTGTATTCTTTTATTTCTGGTAAAAAATAGTCCAGAATACTGCTTGTAGAATACCGTTTTCTGAGTGAAATATATTAGCAAAATTATTTATAGCTGCCTTTTCCATTAAGTAGGAATAGTTCTCGAATAAAAAAATATATTAAAATTAATTAATTGAAAGAAAACTAATCTTTTATTAGTAAAGTGCTGATAAGGACATGAGGCACTGTAAAACTGAAATTCTGAACGTCAGCTGTAGGAATGGGGTTTTAGTTTGTCCTGCCAAATGCTTAAGGTACGGTTTAAGACCTTAAACATTTTGACAACCAGATTTGTAGCCACATAGGAATAGGGGATTTTGTACATGAAACCAAACGTTCGGTGCAGTTTTGTTTGCATTACAGGATCGCGGATCTCGGGTTGTGCTCATCCAGAACTGCGAGTCCGCAGGGTGGGGCAGGCGGGGCCTGCGCGTCTCGGGGTGGAGCCGCAGCACCCGCGCGTCTGATTGGCCAGCGAGGGCAGAACATGCAAATCAAGGGGGCGTGTCCCACGCGCTGCCACGCGCGGCCGTTCCGCGGGGCGCGGGCGCTCCCGGGGGGCTCGGGGCGCGCTCCCGCGGCCGCGGGGGCTCGGCGGGGCCGCGCCGGCTGCTGGCCCGGGCTGGCGGGGCGGGTGTTCGGGGATCGGCGTGTGCTGCGTGCGGGTGTGCGCGGGAGGGAGGCGCGCGGGCGGCGGGGCAAGGTTAAGACTATACTTTCAGGGATCATTTCTGTAGTTGGTCACTAGAGGAGAGTGATCGCACCTGATCGGCGTCACAAGCCACGAGGAGGAGCAGGGTGTTCTCTCCTGGGCGCGAAGCGGGCGGGCGGTGCTGCCTGGGCAGGGGCCGCCCGCCATTGATGACCGTTCCCGGCCCTATTGTTGGGGCTCGGGAGGGAGAGAACACGGGCTGAGTGGTTTGTGGCCCTTTTTTTTTTCATGTTTAAAGAAAGAGCTGGAATGAGCAAAGAGAGGTGATCCTTGCCCAGGGACATTTCTCTCTCTCCTAATGAACACGCGGGCAGCCTCTCACTGCAGTGACAGTAAGTGGGCGCCCAGTGAGGGCGGGAGCAGCCGCACGGGTTTAGGCTTTATGGGGGTATTCAGGCCGATGGTATTCTCGACCCACCTGTTAGTGAAGGGCAAGGTGTCTTACTTGGTGTGGCGTCTCTAATGAACGGCGGTGATCAGAGAGTGACACGGGTCTAAGGGGAACCAGATCCAGATTTACCTTTTGTCACTTGTGGAAGTCCGTGTCGGTCAGGCTACAAATTCTGACGTGGTTTAGGGAGAAGCTGTTCCGTGTTGTGTTCTTTATACAGGTCAGTCGGCTGTGGTGTGGGGTCCGTGGTGCTCTGGCTGAGCCCAGAGATGCAGAGGCCGGAATTCATTAAACAGTGCGCTGAGGGTTGTTCGTTTTGGTACATGAATGCCACCCTAAAAGTGGCGGGAGAGGCCAGGACCCAGGGCAACCCCAGGCGGCAACCGTGCCGCGCTGCCGGTGGTGGTAGCGGGGCTCTTCTCTGTTGTCCCGGGGCAGCGGCAGCACGGGCGGTGACGGTCCCTTGTGTCGTGTCGCGACAACTGCGACAGCCCGAGCTCGGCCGGCAGCGTCACTTCTCATGAGGGTGAGAGTGGGGGCGGGGCCGAGCGGCCGCCAGGCTTCGGGAACGCGTCTGATTGGCCAGCGAGGGCAGAACATGCAAATCAAGGGGGCGTGTCCCACGCGCCGCCACGCGCGGCCGTTCCGCGGGGCGCGGGCGCTCCCGGGGGGCTCGGGGCGCGCTCCCGCGGCCGCGGGGACTCGGCGGGGCCGCGCCGGCTACTGGCGCGGGCTGGCGGGGCGGGTGTTCGGGGATCGGCGTGTGCTGCGTGCGGGTGTGCGCGGGAGGGAGGCGCGCGGGCGGCGGGGCAGGGTTAAGACTATACTTTCAGGGATCATTTCTGTAGTTGGTCACTAGAGGAGAGTGATCGCACCTGATCGGCGTCACAAGCCACGAGGAGGAGCAGGGTGTTCTCTCCTGAGCGCGAAGCGGGCGGGCGGTGCTGCCTGGGCAGGGGCCGCCCGCCATTGATGACCGTTCCCGGCCCTATTGTTGGGGCTCGGGAGGGAGAGAACACGGGCTGAGTGGTTTGTGGCCCTTTTTTTTTATTCGTGGTTAAAAAACAGACTATTTGTGGATAAGCGGGTTATCCCTGCGAGCTCAGATTTGGCTGCCTGCTGCCTCCTGAGTCCTGACCCCAAGTGCCACAACCACATTCCAGAAATCCCTCCAGGGGATGGGGACTCAGCCACTGCCCTGGCCGACTGTGCCAGTGCTTGATAACCCTTGCAGTGAATACATTTACCCCAGCATCAAACCGAAACGTCCCCTGATGCAACCCGAGGCAGCTTCCTCTCATCCTGTCACTTGTCCCCTGGAGGAGAGACAGACCCCACGTGCCTACATCCTCCTTTCAGGCAGTTGCAGGGAGGGTCAAAGTACCCCCGGAGGTTCCTTTTCTCTAGGCTGAGCCCCCCCAGTTCCCTCAACTGCTCCTCATGAGATCTGTGACCCTTTCGAAAGTCTTTTCCCTTCTGTGGTCACACTCCAGCTCCTCAATATCCTTCTGTTTGTGCTGGGGCCAAAACTGGACACAGGATTCGAGGTGCAGCCTCCCCAGTGCCGAGTCCCGGGGACGGTCACTGCCCTGGTCCTGCTGGTCACACTACTGCCGATACAAGCCGCGGTCCATTGGCCTTCTTGGTCACCTGGGCACGCTCTCCGCTCCTGCGCACCTGCTACTATCGAGCGGCATCCCCAGGTCCTCTTCCTTCACACAGCTTTCCAGCGACTCTTCCCAAAGCCTGTAGCGTTGCAGGGCGTTCTTGTGACCTGGTGTCCATTAGCGAATGTCAAGGGACAGGGGAGCACCCGGTGGCGATTCCGCCTCCCGTGACGTGTCGTGGGCCCAGCGCGGGGCGCAGCGGCGCCGTTCCCGGCCGCGAAGGCGGGAAAGGGGCGGAGCCATAGCACCCGCGCGTCTGATTGGCCAGCGAGGGCAGAACATGCAAATCAAGGGGGCGTGTCCCACGCGCCGCCACGCGCGGCCGTTCCGCGGGGCGCGGGCGCTCCCGGGGGGCTCGGGGCGCGCTCCCGCGGCCGCGGGGACTCGGCGGGGCCGCGCCGGCTCCTGGCGCGGGCTGGCGGGGCGGGTGTTCGGGGATCGGCGTGTGCTGCGTGCGGGTGTGCGCGGGAGGGAGGCGCGCGGGCGGCGGGACAGGGTTAAGACTATACTTTCAGGGATCATTTCTGTAGTTGGTCACTAGAGGAGAGTGATCGCACCTGATCGGCGTCACAAGCCACGAGGAGGAGCAGGGTGTTCTCTCCTGAGCGCGAAGCGGGCGGGCGGTGCTGCCTGGGCAGGGGCCGCCCGCCATTGATGACCGTTCCCGGCCCTATTGTTGGGGCTCGGGAGGGAGAGAACACGGGCTGAGTGGTTTGTGGCCCTTTTTTTTTATT